GGATGCACCTGATGCACCTGATACAGTCTTTGACACGTTGCTGTGACTCACTGGGTCTTTAAATGTGGCCCTACCAGACTGCAGCTCCTTGAGTGGGACGCTGTTACTACCTGGTAAAGAAACAGGTAGCTGACAAGAACAGTACGACTTTGTGAGGTTTCAACTTGTAACCAGAACATCATCAACTCAGCTGAGACATCACCCCAGCTTTAAGGTCTGAGCTCTGAGGTAAACAGAAGGCACCATGTGATATTTCCACACTACAGAAACCCCCCATACCCTCAGGTAATAACACTTAATGACTTTTTTGTGTATTTAATGATGCATAGTTACTGCTGGGTGTTATAGGGTGAAACTCTGACTGTGAATCAGCAGAGGCTTCACCTGTCCCTCTTTGTCTCTGCTGGGTGTTGATCTACGTGGGTCCTTGCTTTCTTTGTCTGTGCCATTCCCCTGTCTAACCTATACATCAATGTCTACAGTCGGGTTTGACCCACTCGTCACAGTTCATCAGATGGCGACTGTCATAGAAATTTTAGACTTCAACAGAATATCTGGACTGAAATGACATAAAATTCCTTTCAGCATCAGGTCAGACTGTCTTAAGGCATGCTCTCATAAAAATGTTATCGTTTTAGTGAGAACTTTTATCTAATCAATGTCAATGAAGTTAGAGAAATATGATTTAATGTAACTGCATTCTAGCCAAGTTGATGGGTATTAGTGAGTGTATGAAGTAACAGTGAAATAACATGAACTCGGAGATGTGGTAATCACGAGCGTCATCATTATTCACAGAGACACTCAGGAAGTCATGCTACATCCTCTTGGAGTTCATGCTGTAAATCAGAGAGAGTCAATCACTTAAGCATTACAGAAACACAATATATGGATTTTTTTCCATCATAACAGGTGACAGGTGATGATTTAGTCCAGTGAGAAAGTCTGTTGTTGTTGCAGTTTGTGAAACTGTTAGTAGGAGGAGGTGCTGTTGCAGCTGAGCAGTACAGGCAGGTTTAGAGGGTGAATACTTCAATAGTAACAGAGATAAAATCTCAGGTGTGGAAGGCGTCTGGAGACTATGGAGGAACTTAAAATGAACCATCCAAACAGTCATGGTGACATGATGAGCCCAGGACCTCAGAAAGAGAACTGACCCAGACTTGAGGTAAATAGGGGCAGGACTCCTAAACCCAGCCAACCTGTTCTCTGATGAGATGGCAGAGTCTGAAGGTCTAGAGATAATCAAAAAGCTCATCAGCAACAGGTACCAGGTGGGGATGAAACCAACCTGACATGCTGGAGGTTCTGGACATTGTTGGTTTGTCTTGGCTGATATGTTTTTTCAACCTTGCAACCATGGAGGTCTTTGACACTGCCTCTGGGCTGGCAGACTAGCTTCATCAATAAAGACGAGGACTGAAAGGTGCGGTCCAACTATTAGGGTATGATACTACAACCTCTCTGGCGAAGCTCACTCAGACTTGAATCTCAGATACAGGAGGAACCATGCTAGATCTGGTTGTGGTGCAGTGGACCTTCTTCTCACTCCTGGAGGGTTCATGGGATTTTACTCATCCAGAGAAACATGGGCACGGAGAAGGCCTACAACCTTGATGGTGTTTGTGGTTGTACAGCAGGACTATACAGCTCCTTTGCAGCAAACCACCCAACCCCTGTGACTCCAAAGTCTATACAGGACACAAAGTCAGACACAACACTGCCATGTGTAGGCCTCCCCACCTCACTGAGTCTGTTTGAGTTCCTCATGGACAGGCTCGGAAAGGAGGGTCTGCTGTTGGGGGGACTTTAGAGTTCCATCTCTACTCTTTGCAGATGATGTTGTTCTATGGTTTCTCTGGGCTGTGAACTCAAGCAGACATTTTAAATGATTTAGGTCGGCACATCTAGTTCCAAGATCTTGGTTCTCTGCAGAAACATGTCAGTCTAACACAATAAATCAGTTTTTTAAATAGCATGAGAACGTTCCGCGTGAGGAGCTCACGAAGAGGACAATAAGAGCAGAGCTCAGCAGAAGATGATGAATGTCTATAGGTCCAAATGCAGCTCAGTTGGTAGAGTTCTGTGCCTCCCAATGAGAGGGTCAGGGGTTCCGACACTTGAACCCACCTGCCCCCTGGCTGGCTGTGTCCAGTGGTGTGTGAATCGGATTAGTCAAAAACTAATAGTCTCTATATCAGTCTCTGCCATCAGTGAGTGAATAGGTGAATAGGTGAATGAGTGAGTGAGTGAGCATGGAGCAGTGACCCTCAGAACAAACTCTGCTGGAGGTCAGACAGCCTGAACACAAAGCTGATTTCCCAGCATGCACCAGGTATATACCATGTTCATCTTTGCTGCTACCTGCTGTCATATGAAGATTTAGTAGACAAGGCTAGCAGTTAAAGCTAACAGAGTTAGTTTTAGTTAGATTATTACTTTGAGACACTTTGTTTAAGACAACCAGAACTCAGCACAGGTCATTTAGTCCATTGATCATGTATTATTTGTGTTGCTTATTTTGTTAGCTTTAAATTAATCTTTTAATGAAAATGACCAAGCCTGTAACCTTTGTAATAATTACCTGTCTTTCAAATCATCTTTTTCACCTTTACCTTTTGCCAACCACAGTGACACTGTAATCACACTGCTGACATGTCTGTGTCATATAAAGCTGGTCTTGAAGAGGAGAACATTTTTGAGAGATGGTTTTACTCCTCTCCACTGTGTGGTGCCAGTAAGCCATTGACTAACTCCCATTAAAAGAGCAGGCACAAAAGTTAAGAAATACTGGTAAACCTACCAAAGAGAAAGGGCCTGCTCATACATTTGGAAAAGACTTCTGGAAAACTATTGGCTCACACCTACTCACATCTAAGGACAAGATTTTAGAGTTTTTAGTCACAGCCTAGTCGTAGACTGAGAATTTATAAAGACTGTGAATCTTGCAGGGTCACGATTTATAAGACTACAGTTAGATTCATTTAGCATTTTTTGACAGTTCAGTGTTTCCTATTGGTGGGCAATATATCTGTGGTGGTGTGTGATTTGGGGGGGGGTCATTAATCAGCTGTGTGTTCTGCCTCCACGCTGGGTGAAGCCACCCTGAGAACAGCACCCTCTGGTGATGGGCTGCAGTACAGGTCATAAATCCCACCTCCTACAGCCATCCTTATGGAGGTGTGAACAAACCAGAAATTTATTACACAGAAAATAATTTTTTCCCCCCTGCTTGCGATGTTGTCATGTAGTTATTGTAAGACTGGTCTGTGCTCTCTTTTTTCTTTTTTTCCATTTTTAAAAGTTATAAGGGGGTTCATGTTTTCTATGATTGACACTGGACACAGCCTATGGGCATATTGCGTAGCTCACCTGGGGATATGCTGTTTTGAGCCGAGTGTCATCACAGCAACGTCAAATGCGTACAATGCTACTGCGCAATGTTGGTTTCAGGAAGTGGAGAAAAAATGCTGAATTACAGAGAGGCTTCATATCCGTATACTGGTGGAAGGCTGAACCAAGCTGCTCATAGTATATACAGTCTATGGTGTTCACATGTGAAAACTCAGAAATTGCAAATGCTAATACAATAGCCGTGGTGGTGTGCCATTACAGGGGAAACCCTGCAGTTGATGTTGAATAGACAAAGCTGATTTCCCCACAGCTCCACAATCCGCTCCTTTTTTATCGCCAGTTATTCTTCATACATTTGTGTTTTCCTTGTTTTGACTGTCAGGTTTCCTTTTCTGCTTTTGTTAGAGCTCATCTATCGGTTGTTGGTTATGTTATGTCACTGCAACTTCACGTTTGATATTATCACAAACCCAAGACTAGGATAAGACTGATATAATAGACAGCAGATTACCACCTTAAACTTAATGATGGAGATAACAGGATCGGCTTTGACTTCGCTGTGACTTCAGTAAAACTCCTAGAAGACTTTCAGTTTTTAGTCTGGGACTGCGAAAATCGTTTGGTGGAAGCCCAGCATAAGACGGATTGAAGACAACCTGAGCATGAGCGTACAGCCTTAGAGCTTTCCTCTTTTTTCCTCTGACAACTATTGCAGTATAATTAACTACTGCTTCAACATAAATACACTCAGAATCAGGCTTCAATATTTCCTGAGTAAAAGGATGGTAAAGCAGGACTAAATTTTTTTTAAGCATAGAAAAAAACATCGCCATGTATAGTTTAGGTAGAGTACTACTGAGGTGCACTGACCCCCCACATGACAACTTATCCTGTGGGTCCAAGGCTTAAGTCACGTTCTGTTGGAGGTTACTACTGTTCAAAGCAAATGTTTCTTATCTTCTTGTGGTGGATACTTGGTGAAGGACTGAGATAAATCTGCTTTATATTGAAAGTAGTAAAGGTTTAATTTGACCTGACTTTGTGTCAGTGCCTTTAAGCTGAACAGTGTTCAGTATTACCCAGGACTATTATTATTATTATTATTATTATTATTATTATTTACTGACAGAGGGTCGGGCTGAGCAGGAAATGTGTAAAATTAAGTCTCGTGTGTGTGTGTGTGTGTGTGTGTGTGTGTGTGTGTGTGTGTGTGTGTGTGTTTGACAGCCTCCTTTCATTGGTTCTCCTCGGCGGCCCCGCCCCCACCCTCGGTTTGGAGCAGGAACCTTTAATACCGCGTGAGGAGCAGCAGCTTCCAAGAGAAGCAGAGACACGGAGACCGGGAGGGACGATCTGATCCTGGACGAGCTGCTGAGGAGGACCGAGGCAGTGAACTAGAACTCCACAATTTAAAAAAGAAAAAAAAAATCAGGATCACTTTTTAATACCGCATACCCTCCACACTCAGAGACACACAGACAGGCGGTGACGGTGCGGGTCCAGGAGCGGCAGAGACACCGGTGCGTAAAGTTACCTTCGCGCTTTCTCTGAGGACATCAGCCGGGAGGTTCCGGTGGGCACGCAGTGGTCTGGGGCACCGGGTCGGATCTGGATTTTACAGCCCATCATAGAGGCTTTGTCTGTGGATGGTAAGGCTTCACGCGGAGCGCTGCCCGGACTTACTGTGAACGTGCCACATGCGCGGTGGAGAAATGGATGTGCTTTTGCTATAGCCAAGATTTGCCGCGGTTTTTTAAAGTACTGCTTCTTCCTCTTCTGACTGTGTGTGTTTGTTGCTGTCAGATTTTTCTCTGGGGACGAGCGCAGACATTTCAGGACTCGAGCGGAGTTACAACCATGAACTTTGTTGTCACTTTGATACAATTCCTTTTCGCGGCGGCTCACCTCTCCACTGTAAAGGTAAGTGTGACTGTTACATCAGTATTGAACATAAAGTATGATATCAGTCCTGATCAGACTGCCTCTTTTCAGATCAAAGATTTGTATTCTTTTTAATCCAATATTAAATGATAAATGATAAGATAAAAGAGGCTTGGATGAGTAAAGCTGCAGGTTGATATCGGCCCGTTAAATGAATTGACTGACATCTCATCTTAATGTTGAACCAAGAAAAAAAAAGGTAAAAAAAAAAAAACATGAGCATGCTATATTCGGTTCCTTTATCAAACATTTGTCCTTATCATTTTTTCATACTCTCATAAAGTCTCATAAAGTTCATACTCTCCGCAGAGCCAGACTCCATTCAAATATCTGCTTATTTAAGACCTGCTCTAGAAGTGCCAAGTCACGCTGGAGAAAATACACAAGAAAGATACAGAAGTAGCCTATAAGACCATAACAAAGAAGAAGTATCAATAGAAAGGATATTAATCCAACAGAAGGAGAAAAAAATTGCGTGTATTTAGTTCTCTTAAATTGGCAAAATTAATGCAGGAATTTGGGTCGTTCCTTTTTGTCAGCGCACCAACTTAAATAAAACAAGTGGGGCAACAGTCCTTAAAATTGTGTTATTTTATCTATGACAGTTGATTGCAGCATTATCCCCGTGCCGACTCAAACACACGCTGCTGAATAACACACCTTATAATTTATGATTATTAAATAACATCTGTTCACAGTATCAGGTCAGTCAGTGTTAAACTGACAGATTTATGAATGAAGTTCAGTCTGCGGCGCTCAGCTCTCGTCTGCTCTGGTCCCGTACTGTCTCTGTTCTCACGGTGATCTGGGCCGTGTGGGAGCAGAGACCCGGCCCCTGACCCCCCCCCCCCCTTCTCCTGTAGGATGCCCCCCGCGAGCCCACACAGGCTGTCCCGCTTTCTCACGCAATACCTCCGCACGTTTACAACATCTACGCAAGGTGAACGCAGCCCTGTCATCGCCTCCCCGTGTCTGTCTGTTTACCAGCTAAACAAAGGCTGTTTCCTGCTTGAACCTTCAAAATAAAGCTAAAAGTTTGTAAAGAAGGTGATAAATCTGAAAGTGACCCGTGCTTTCACAAAGTGTACAAACTCCCTGCCTGTAAATCCAATAATACTGACCCCTCAGAGTGCGCAGACTCAGACTCCCTGCTGTGAGACTCCTTTCTCACATGATTTTCATAGAGCCTGGGGTACCACTAAGGTGTATAGACAGAGCAGACAACTGTGTTTAAAAGTCTGTAGAAATTAAACTCTGTCCTATAACATGTTTGATTTTTTTAGACTGACTGACTCTGAGCTGTAAACTGCAGTGCTCCACTGTAGCATTGGAATCCACAGTTCACACAGCTGATCAGAGTGTTAACAAGCACAGACAGAGACAGAGAGAATGCAGTGATTTATGCCTGAAAACTGGGTAAAATATGAACATCAGAAGCTGTACGCGTGGAGGTGAAAAATACTGGGGAGATCATTTGAAGCTAAATGATGGCATGCAAAGCTGCTCTCATGATGCTGATGTGCAAGCTTACAGAAAATCCAATATTTGAAACAACTTTCTTTAGTCCCACATGTTCTATTCAGAGAGGAAATATACTTCACAGGTTTGTTTTTCAAGAAATTAAAAACTGCAAGAACCTCCTGCACACAATGTTTTCAGCACCCACAGACATCCCACAGTGATGAGTTTCTCAGAGTGGAGCAGTGTGCAGGAGTTTGTAGGACTTTCAGTCCTATCAATTAGGACTTCAAACATGTTTTTAAGTCATTGAAGACTGAAGTCAGGGTTTAGCTGTCACTTTGTTGCTGGCCCTGCTGACGTGGATGATCTCTGATAAATCCAGCATCCACACTCTGAAGTTTGGTTTGACTGTTTTATAGTGGAGACAGAGTCTAAGCCACACACACACACACACACACACACACACACACACACACACACACACTCATACACACACTCATTTTAGATTTACACTCTCTGCTCTTCTCTTTCAGACTGCCAGCATTAACAAAGAAGTGGACAAGAGCAAGAATGAGGGTGAGTTTCATTTTAAAATTCTTTGTGATCCACAGAGCCCCCTGGTGGACATATGGGGAACATTTTAATCCTCTGATTCAGGTTTAAATGTTAGGGTCTAAAATGTGGGTCTTTAAAATGTGCAGCACGTGTGTGTTCACCAGTCTGAGCCCAGGAATGTTGACAGTGATGAGCAAAGGTTCCCTAAGTCCAAAGGTCTGAACCTGGACTTTGGAGTCCTCATAAAAACACAGACAGACAGAGAGAAATAGAGAGAGGGTGGAAACCATGACAGATAGACAGCCTCGACTGTGTGTGTGTGTGTGTGTGTGTTAGGGGGGCACATTAGGCCTGTGTGTCCCTGATGAATGGAAACACACGAGTCAACTCAAACACTCTGTGTGTGTTTCTGAGCCGGACGTCATGCTGTGACCTTCATACTACACCTGTCAGATCCTGTCACACACAACACACACAACGCACACACACACACACGCACAGATAAGGCTAAACCTGATTACTCTAAACTGTAACTGATACGAAGTGTTCAGTCTATCTGATGTCTGCAAGAAAAAACACACATATGATACAAACGTGTGATACACACACATGTTTATACTGATCAGATACACAGCTGAAATGAAAATGTGGACTCATAATCAAGTTCTTGATTCAGGATTTTCCCCTTTTGTGTTGGTATCAGTGATCCAGTTTATGCCCAAGCTTTCAAGAAAAGACTGCCTTTTCTAGCAGACCTTTTGTTTTGAAAGGACACTGTGTACTTCCTGTTTAAAGTATAGTTAGAATGAACAGTATTGATTTTTGGGGTGTATTCAGTGCCCTCTTTTCAGTCAGTGTGGGTGCAGGAAAATGCTGATATGAGAGTTGGCTGCAGAGGAGTCTCACTTACTTTCCTGCTGGTTTCTGAGGGTTCACTAACACTGGTTTGAGGCAGTTCTGTCTTACCTTTCGGTTTGTGTCGTCTGTTTTAGCTGGAGCAGTCTGAGAGAACAAGCTACTAAGCACATTTTTGTTAACAAGTTTTAGGCCCTGCTTTTTAGCTGGAGGACTTAGTTTTGACATTAATATGTGACCCAGTCTATGACCCAGTCTGTCCACCTCTGACTATCTGACCTCACAGACAGACAGGTGAGTTTAGGATGCACTCAATAAACTCAGCAGACCACCTTAAACCTTCGGTCTAAAACTCAACAGACTGCCTTAAACGGGGACTTTGACAGCTGCTGATAAGTTCATGCACTGCTGCAGTGAATAACTGTGTAAGCAGGGCAGAGTGTGTGTGTTTAGACAGTGTGTGTGTTTGTGTGTGTCTCATTGATGACTTTTATTTCATCATTCAGTCGGTAACACTTTCCTTGTTGTTTTACGTCCTTTCATTAGATCTATTAATGATTTATGGATCTTTGTGTGTGTGTGTGTGTGTGTGTGTGTGTGTGTGTGTGTGTGTGAGGATGATGTAACACAGGTGACATCCTGCTGAAGTGGTAGAACCAGCTGAGTGTGTGACATTGCAATTTTTCTGCTGATGCTCTAGTTCAACTGAGTCCCAGTTCAGCTCTAGCTCCTGAGTCCAGTTTAAATTCACTCTGAGTCCAATTCATAGTCCAGTTTTAGTCCCAGTTTAACACAACTCTGCAGAAGAGTGTGTGGACGGACAGAAACAGAGAAGATGATCTGTGTCTTGAGATAGTTTGATTTCTGTCTCTAACTCTCAGATTAAACCCAGTGCAGTTTGTATAACGCTGACCCTCAATCATACTGCTTTAGTGTGATTCAGGGGTGTGGCCAACTCAAGGGTGGGCTCTCTGGGATCAGAGGTCAAAGGTGAAGCCTGGCGCCACAGAGCTGGAGGTCTGAGCTGGGGTCAGGAGACAGCCGGGGGTCTGTGGGAAGCAGACTGAAGGACTCTGGGATGGATTATTCTGGTCTGGGTGCAGAGACCAGACTGACTGATTGACTGTTGGTGCTGACCCACTCAGAGCTTCCTCCCTACGACCGGACGTTAATGTTTATGTATTTGTTAATTTAACATGTACTTACAGTAGCATTGGTACTGTAATATTTAATCAATGCCTACATCCTAGACTTACTGCACAGAGTGTTTATAGCAAAACACTTATTTACAGCCCCTGTCCACAGAAGTAAGTTACAAATAAGAAAAGAAAAACATCAAGAAAATACAACACAGTTATAACGCAAAGCTGAGGTTGATTGCTCATTTGGTGTTTCTGTTTATCGTGGCGCCCTCTGTGGACCACACAGTCTTTGCTGATGTGACTTTGCCAGTGTGTCAGAACAGTTTCTTGCTTACAGTCTTCTCTTGCTCTCATAAAACAGTGGAGTGAGTCACGTTTAAGGTGTCATATTTACGCCTTCCTCCCGCTCTTGTTTGCAGAGTGTAATGCACAGAGGGATGAAGGCTGGTGAAGAAATTCCTCCTCTGATCCGTCCTCAGAGGCAGAAAGAGGAGGAATTAAAGGAGGAGATCATGTACACTATCAGAGCAGGCAGGGCGGAACAGCACTGTGTGTGTGTGTGTGTGTGTGTGTGTGTGTGTGTGTGTCTGAGTGTGTGTCTGAGTGTGTGTCAAGCCCAGCTGTGTATTAACAAGCTGTGTCACTTGTGCTACTGCAACAACATAATGCATTGTGTATTAAAGACACACTGGGACACCAATTTAACAGCGTTTCAGGGTGCAGTGTGTAAGTGCTGAGGCTTAGTGATGTCCTGACTGTTACAGATTTCGCAAAAGTCTTTTTTTAGGTCATGCAGAGACGTCAGTGTCAGTCCGAGCTTTGAGCTGCTGTGACAGATTTCTGCTGCTTACCTCCATTCACTCTCTCTGCTCAGATCACTGAGAAGTCCTTAAATGCATCATTAACATCACTTGGTGATAACCCTGATTTAGATCCTGTGCTTTCGTTTTGAGTCTGAATCTTCTCTCTCCCTGTCTTGTCATTTTATCCAGTCATCCCCTTCATTGATGTCTATAATAAGAGCTCGTGCCAGCCCCGCGAGAAGCTCGTCGAAATCCCCTCGGAGTACCCAGGGGATACGGAGCACACCTATGTCCCGTCAAGTGTGGTCCTCAAACGCTGTGGAGGCTGCTGCAGCGACGAGGCCATGGAGTGCGTTCCCACGGAAACACGAAACACCACATTGCAGGTGAGTGTGTGTGTGTGTGTGTGTGACAACTAAAAGAAAAAAAAAAAAAAAAAAGGCAGAAACACAAAAAAGACCCTTCTTCATGACTTCTTTATTGCCATGGCTTGCTTCAGCTGATGGAGGTCACTGGTTGTCATGGAAACAATCAGTTTTTGTAGAATAATTCCAATATGGAGTTTCCATTCAACTCTAAGTACAATTACTTTATGGTTCATGGAAGCAGAAGCATTAAAAGAGGACAGATGTTTCGTAAACAGGAAGTATAGTGTAAACAGGACACCACAGTCAGAAATGAATACAGAGCCATTAGTGCAGTAACTCCACAGCAGCAGGGCCAGGGCAGACTTCAGATAACAAATATTGTTAAGAGTTCATTGTGATCAGGTTACAGATTCTGACACCTCAGAAGACTCCACATACCAACAGAAAGCATGAAATAAGAGTCACAGAAAAATAGCAACTGGACTATGACTGAATGTGGAACCAATGGCTCAAGATGTAAGGGTTTAGGGATTTAAGGCTGAGTATTACCACTCAAGGGCATGTTCGTGCATACACAGGAGAAATATGTCTCTCAGGTCCTGTTTATTTTAAAGGAATATCAAGGTATCAAACTGCAGCCTGACTTGAATTCCAGAAATATAGGTCTGTTTCTGTGGACCAGGCTCAGCAAGCAGCCAGCAGAGGCATCTGAGATATGTTGTTTACCCGATCACACTGTTTACGTGCGTGTATGTGCAAGTGAGTGTGTTGCTGATACAGTGCTAACCTTCTTGATGTTGTCTGGTGTGTGTCTCTCAGGTGATGCGACTCAGACCAATGGTGTCGCAGCACTTAATCCAACTCAGCTTCACTGAACACCAGAAGTGTGAATGCAGGTGAGACACCATCACACGCACGCACACAAACACACACGCAAACAAACAAACCCAAAGTGACATGTAAATAAAACTTTTTTTTAATTTGTTCTTTCAGAGATAAGACAGACGTCACTGCAAAGAAAGAATAGTAAGTACGTGTTTCTGTTTGTCTCTCTCATCAGTCTGAGCCCTCTGAGGGTTAAACACACACACTCTATATCAGTCTCATCATGGTTAAACAGAAGAGTTTACAGTAATAAGAAACATTCTGTTGATGAGTTCCTCTCACAGTCAGTGACTAGTCTCTCTGAGCAGCGGGTGTTTGGATACATGATGAAGCTCTCAGACTGTGGGCATGAAGTGTGTGGAGCTGATGTCTGTGTTCCCTGACAGAGTCTCAGGGTCAGTGGTAACTGTAGGTCATCTGATGGAGGGTCAAAGGTACTGTAGGTCATCTGATGGAGGGTCAAAGGTTACTGTAGGTCATCTGATGGAGGGTCAAAGGTTACTGTAGGTCATCTGATGGAGGGTCAAAGGTTACTGGAGGTCATCTGATGGAGGGTCAAAGGTTACTGTAGGTCATCTGATGGAGGGTCAAAGGTTATTGTAGGTCATCTGATGGAGGGTCAAAGGTTACTGGAGGTCATCTGATGGAGGGTCAAAGGTTACTGTAGGTCATCTGATGGAGGGTCAAAGGTTATTGTAGGTCATCTGATGGAGGGTCAGTGGTAACTGTAGGTCATCTGATGGAGGGCTAAAGGTTACTAGAGGTCATCTGATGGAGGGCCAAAGGTTACTGTAGGTCATCTGTTGGAGGGTCAAAGGTTACTGTAGGTCATCTGATGGAGGGGCAGAGGTTACTGTGGGTCGTCCCTTTATGCTTTTATTGTTAGATGAAGCTCACACCTCTGCAGCAGCAGAGAGTGTCTCAGCTGTATTTACCTGCTGCAGTAGTTGTGAGCTGAGTCACTCAGTTGTGTGTGTTAGTGTGCACGTAGTTCAGGCTGCAGGGGTGGGGCCTGTAAGGAGAGGAAGCTTTTGTTTTCTTTGATGTCCTTACTCCCCCTGTAATAATCTCACTTGATGGATTTCTGCACACTGCCCTCCCTTACCCCACCTGTTTGCCAGGGTCAAAGGTCACAGCAGAGACAGCTACAGATCAGAGTCTGTGGAGTGACTATATCAAACATTTCAAATAAATGGATGAAATGTTTAATGTGGTCAAACCTTGAGGAGATGATGGTGAATGAGGCCTATTGGATATGAACATTTGTTCAAAGCTTGGATTTTTCCTGTCAGACTGACCCTCATTTTAACAAACTGGGTAGTTCTCCACATTTGTCCATCTTTGGCTTCACAAATTATTGATAATATAATCTACAAAGCCTTTAGATTCAGCACATTAGGCTAAGTAAAGAGTGAATCACCTTTTTTTCTAATTAGTATGTCTTCTGAAGTTTGTGTTTGATTATAGGTTGCTGTAACCTCTGATGTACAGTATTCTGGCAGAAAAATCTTAAACCTTATGGATTGTCACATTTTGGCTTTGACATTGCTAAGGTGTGACTTTTAGCTTAGTTTATTTTCAGGCATTATTCTTAAAAACTTAATGTGAAATTTTGCATTTCATTTTGCCAAGGTGGGAGTAAAACCATTTGCACCAAACAATTTAATCACCTGTAGTCGTCTCTGCAGGGCATGCTTAAAAAGGTCTCCTCGACAGAGTTGTATCATTGTTAAACAAAATGCACCTCAGTGACTCTAAAACAAAGTTGATATCATCAATTTAATCATATGAACAGTAGAAGCCTAAGCCCTGAGGAACCCCGTATGTAACCTTCATATGGTTGAAATCTGAAATCTAATTATAAAACATGTCTCTGTACTCCCTCTGACAGGGACAGATATGAGACGTGTCCTCCTGTTTCTCTGAGGACGTCTGTCCTCATGATGACAGTTATCTGCCAGTCTGTCTGCTAGACGATATGATAAACTGCTCTGTCCTGCTGTTGACTGTTTCTTGCTGTTTCAGACGACAGTTATACACAGACACTGAGACACTGTGTGTGTGTGTGTGTGTGTGTGTGTGTGTGTGTGTGTGTGTGTGTGTGTGTGTGCGTGCGCGCGCAACCTGTTTCAGGGTCGTAGTGCACAGATTCTGATGAGTCAAAGTTAAACCAGGCATCCTGTTTCTTGTGTGTGTGTTTGGTGTGTTTGATGTGAGTGTTTGTAACGTGTGTGTTTGCTCATGTTGTGTCTCTGCTGTGACCCTGTGCTCATACAGTAACAGATAGTGAGACAGTTGTAGCGTCTTGGTCCTCCTCAGACAGTCACATGATCAGTCTGTGTGACCCTGCGGGGTCCATGAGTCCATGCCCTGCAGAGAGGTTGGTAGTTAGACTCTGACTGTGTTTATACCCTGTCCCATCTCTGCTATTGCTGCACCACCCACAGCTTCATGTCCATCTAACCCTGAGGTCAGAGTGAAGCAGGGATCAGAGCTCAGAGCTAATTTCTGCAGAATGAGATCATAAAACTGTGTGTGTATGTTCAGAGAAATGAACTGTTTGTCCTCCTGATATGGTTTCTATCAGCTGTGTGTGTGAGTGTGAGTGTGTGTGTTGCATGAGTTCAAGTGTGTGTGTAGCCTCTCTGCTCTGTAGCTTAGCCCTGTCTCTATCTTTCTCTGTCTCTCTGTCTCTTTGCTTCTCTTGCAGCCACTGTGTGCCTTGCTCAGAGAGGAGGAAGCGCTTGTTTGTGCAGGATCCTCTCACCTGTAAATGTTCCTGCAAATTCACGCAGTTAGACTGCAAGTCACGACAACTTGAGTTAAACGAGAGAAGTTGCAGGTTTGTTTCCTCTATCTCTCTCTCTCTCATACACCTGAATAAGAAACAAAAAACAAATGTGCTTTATTTCCACCTGGCTGTCTGTCTCTCCTCCTGTCTGTCTGTCTGTCTGTCTGTCTGTCTGTCTGCTGATTGGCTGAGAACAGCATGCTTCTCCTGCCCTGTCGCTGCCCCTCTGTGTGTGTTAATGATTGTGTGTGTGTCTGTGTGTGTGTTATTATTGTGTGTGTGCAGCTTTGTGCTCCTCTGTGCTCCTTGTTGCGGTCTCGGTGATGCAGCCTTTAGATTTAGAGGATGATGATCAGACACCATGCTCATGCAAATACTATCCTGTCATTATCACTTCCATCTTTATCTCATAGTTTGCTGCAGAGTGCAAATCTTGTGTCTCAGAGATCTTTCTGGATAAATTACTATGTTATACGATGTGACTTCACTGCAGGATAAATGAACATTAAATTGAATATTTGGATAATAGGAATAAGTTTAAACCTAATGCAGTTTATTTTTTCTTACCGGCATTAAAGTGAACATTTTCACAGAAGAAAATGTGAGACAGGACTGTCCTCTTTCAGCTCCCCCTCTTCTCAGAGCCTTGCAGTCAACACTCCTTAAAATATACCATAAATCCTCAAATACAGGCTCTTATAACAGGTACCAGGCCTTTATTTGAAGCAGGCTTTTATTTAAAACTGTCTGAGAATTACAACGATTCTTATTATGGCACAAAATGAGGGTCTGATTCTCAAAAGGATTGTGCAGCTTTTCTACCCACTGAACCAGTGCAAACAGGCTAAAAAGACTCCTTCTAATTTGCAGAGCATGAGCAAAGTGTTAAGGCTCCACAAACTGCACTGCAGAGCAATTAGGATCTGTGTGTCTCAGTGTTGTTTGCATACATCTAAATCCTCTACATTATACCTCCCTCGCTATAAAAGCAAGCCTCAGTGTAAAAATCCTCAAAATCACTGGTGTTGCTAACAACCACGCACAATCATGGTGATTACTTTACTAACTTCATTTGGTTATCTGTACTTTTTGGAGCAGCTGCTTTTTGGTCTCTTGCTCCAAGAAGTAAGCTGGTTATTAACTGTGAAATTTGTCTCATCCGTCATGAATCAACTCCACCAAAATGTTCTGATCTCTCCCTCTCTGTGCAGCTCACTATATCCTTATTCCTGCTTGATTCGCTCATAAAGGATGTGATTTAACACTAGTCTTTATTTGAGGAATTACAGTAAACGAGAAAAATGAGGCAAGTCAAATTCACTGATAGTTCAAGTTCCTTTAAGGTCATAAACTCAGAGATGCTCATACTAGCTCTGCTGCTGGTGCACAGATTGCAGGACAGATTCCAGAAGCTCTTTAGGCTGCTCTCACACCCGAACCTGCCGACTGTACTTATCTTTTGTCTCTGTAAACAGCTGTGTAAAAGCAGACATGAAGAGAGGTGGTTTCCATTCATAATGTAATAACATCACTCTGCAGACACAAGGTTTCCTCATAATGACATTGATTTATTATTGATGGGCTGTAGGCGAAAGCTGTCTAATGATCAGACCTCATATCAGCCTAAACAGATAGTTTAGCTTTAATGTGGAATCAGATACTTGCAGCTGAACCAGTCAACAGATTGATCACGGGCTGTAATCCACACAGACTGAGTCTAAATACAGACAGGTCTGCTCACCAGGCTGAGCTCACAACCTCTGTTGACCCCCACCTCACTGACCCCCACCACACACACCCAGGACCCCCTCTGAGACCCCCCACACTCTGCTGGTGGACTGACCACCAACATGCCTCTGATTGGCTCCTCGGCATTCAGAGGGGGACTCTGGAGCCGGGGTGAGGTGGTTATTGACCCCTCCTTCCCCCCATAATCCTGTACTCCCTCTCCACAACCTTTAACCAGCCCTGATGTGCAGGTTTGAACATTGTGGCATAGATTAGTTCATCAGTTATCATCAGAGCTTCACACTGTCCTCAGATCCAGAAGAGTTCGTATGCTGTGTTAAATGTTCATTAAGACAGAATCTGATGGTTTGGTTGTTTTTAAAGTCCGTATAAAAGAGTTTATCAGCAGAACTCTCCTACTGCAGATCATGCTGTTGTAATCCCTGCAGAGAGTGCTTTGTCATTGTCTTCCTAAAACATGAAGGTCTTCCCTGAAAAAAATTGTCTGTATGGCAGCAGGTGTTGCTACTAAGCCTGTAGATAGGCATGAACGGAGCCTCTACAGGTGTGGAAGCTACCCATGATATAAACACTCGTGATCAGGGATGCTGGCTCTAAACTGGGAGCTGATACCAAGCTGGGTAGTCCCTCCATTCTTGTGAGAGGAAGATGCAGCAGCGTCCATGATTTCCAAAAAGTATTTCAGATTCTGATTTTCAAACCATCAAATTCTGATTGATCAACATGTCACACAGTGAAGTGATTTGGGGTCCAAAACTACAATGCTACCATTGCAATGAATGCGGGGAACCAGAGTGTACTCTGAAAAGCAAACCTCAGACCCTGCAGACATGACACCCATGCTCTCTCACTGTCTGACCCCACCCACTACCCTGTTTGTAAGAATCCCTGTGTGCATGGAGCGAGTTCATGTGCACCCTGCTGACTGTGTTATCATCTGTAAACAGTCCTGATGCTGGTTTCTAACCATCGTAACAGTGTTTTTAAGTGTCACATTCAGCTCCCCTTCTGTGTCTTTACCATGTGTCCCTCTTCTCCTCCTCAGATGTGAGCGCCCCCGGAGGTGAGACCACCACACTGTAATGAAGGAACCTTTTCTCTGCACAGCACTTTGAAACGTGACAATGCATTCCTGCAAAGACACAAAACGACGACCCGAGAGGGAGAGACTGTGAAGACACAGCTCTCTGCTGTCTGTCTGAACTTACTCATATTTATGTACATAGAAACACCGACAATGTGTACCGCTGCTATGACAACACACCACTCTATTTAAGACAAACGAGTACGCCGCCTGCTTGCCGGCTGCGTGTGAACAAAACTATTCGTCTGAGAAAGACATATTTTATTTGGAGTAACACTTCACTGGATGCTGGACGCTGCAGGAGAAGGGTACTTCTTATTAAAGAGACACTCCATGCTGCTGAATGACGACACGCCTCCCAGACCTGATGGAGGAGTAGGAGCAGGAGGAGCAGAAGGTGGACGAGCAACCATGGTGGATAGAGTCTCTCCTCTGTGACATGATGTAAAGTTTTGTCTTTGCTGGATGAGAAAACACTAAAGTGTCCCCTACAGTGATACAGGGGGATTCAGGTTACCATGGAGATGGATAATGTGAAGCTGGGAGAGGGGGTGGGGTTACATGACGGACAGAACTGAACTCTGGGACATGAAGTGGCGGTTGATGGAGGTCACAGGTATAAACCACTCCCCGTCCATGGCCCCGCCCCCTTCATGTATCCCTGACATGTGCAAGGAAATCACTGCAGGGTGCACGAAGATAACTCGACAGGCTGGTCTCAGATCAGATCAGCGTCTTCCTTATTTAACTCTTTGTGTTCCAAAGACCGACCTGTGTGCGCTCAGTGATGACGTCATCAGTCTCACCTGTGTTATTTATAGAGTCTGTTCAGTATTCTGTCAGATATATTTATATGCAGTGTTATGTTCTTAATGTCTGACTGTGACTCACGCTCTGTGAGGAGGACTGAAGCTTTGACATTCCTGTTCAAACCAGCACTGAAGCTCAGCCGGGGAGGGGAGGGAAGGAGGAAGGGGGAGTGACCGATAGTAACCTCGGCACCAACATGTGTTAGCATGATGCGCCAACACAGGTGGTTTTCATTTCCAGGGGAGGGGGACATGTGGTTTACCCTCCAACCCGTCATGGGAACGGAGAGAGGCTGCTCAGACCAGAGCTGGGTCAGTCTGAACTGACCAATCAGAGAGGCCTGCAAAGAGAGAGTGTGTATGTGAGAGAAAGAGAGGAACTGGCATGGAGTCGCTCTGACGTTAGCCAGGCGCTAACATTACGTCTTTACTGCAGCTTTTACACACACACACACAAACTCTGACACCTCCCTGTAACCAAACATGACCATCCTCGTTCTCGTCTTCAGGCTATGTCCTTATGTTGAATGATGATGTCCTAAACCAGATGTTTTTCTTTCCTTTAAAAGAAAAATCCTGTCCACCCTTTGAGGTATTTCTTTTAAATATAATATCGCGTGTACAGAGCCTCTTTTTAATCGAGCAGCTATTACAAACCGTCAAGAGTCCAAAATGAAGCAGAATTTATGAGTGTGCACAGGCATGGAGGTCAAGTTACTGCTTCATTTTTTATTCACGTGAATATACAATATGAGATAATGTTCAGTCAGGTCCAATTTAGTCAAGAGCATTATTATTTCCATGTAATAAGTTATATAAGGTGGTATGGCTCTGCTCTGAGAGTTCCCAGCCCTTCCACTTGTGTTTGTGGACTGTCAAAGCCTGAGGCCGGCAGAGCACATCCCCCTCTGTTGGTGAAAATCCTTTACAAATGAGAAACCTCAGTGTGTGCTGAGCATACACCATCCCTCTGCTCCTTTTGCCTATTGCTCTAAATGTTGAGGCAGGGGGAGCAGCAGCAGTTCTTCAGTTTCAGTACAAAACAGCATCAGTAACAGTTACTGACTGTAATAAAATCAGTCACAGCAGCAGCTCCTCTCTGAGAGATGCCCCAAATAAAGACAGTGAACCGTTCAATGGTTTTAATTTGAGGGAGTAAAGGCGGGCAGAGGCAGACTCCACCCTGACTGAGACTTCTGGTCTCATTAAAGCTGACTTTGCTGCAAACCAATAGGATAATAATGAGCCTTAATGAGAGATTCTGAATGACTGACTGTAACCTGCTCAGACTGGATCAGATCAGACAGATCAGGACTCTCTGTGACTGTGAAACCTGATGACACATTTACTAAATCACCACCCCTCCATTGTCTGTCTGTGTATGCGTGTGTGTGTGACTCCTCTGGCAGGGTTTCTTATGATCTCTGATCAAACCATCCCCACTCCTGAGTCTTGGCGATGTGATTACTGACCCCTTGTAATCTGTTAGGCCTGGTGGTGTGTTCACTGACCTGGCTGCTGCTTCAGTGCTGATGGAAACATTCGATTTGTATTTAATGAGTTTGTACAGCAACACATTTTTAGTATATTTTCACATTAATATATTTATTTGTGCTGTTAAATGTTTTACTTTATTAATACCCTTTTGCTGTTTTTAGTGTAACTATTAAACATATTTATTTTCAAAATACATGCATTTTTCTTATGTGTCTGTTTTCTTGTCAAATTTCTGGCTCAGAATATTGAAAACACCAAACATGATAACAAAAAGTCCTCTCTGCACACGAAGGAGTACCACAAGGTTCACTGCTTGGCCCAATACTTCAGGTAATATGAAGAAACACATTATGACAGGCATTTTCTCATGATACAGCTTCTGTACATGGCATCAGTCTGGCGTTGAGCACCTCTGTAGGAATCTAAGAGTCCTTTATTCAACGAACACCAAGGGCAGCCTTTTTCACAACATCCTAAAAATCAGACACATCCTGCCTCAGAATGACGCAGAAAAACTAGTCCATGCATCTGTCCCCTCTAGGTTAGATGACTGTAACTCCTTTTCCATGTTCTGCTCTATCAGGAGGAGTTGTTATAGATGCTCAGAGTCCTATTGTACAGCAACCCAGCGTTAAGTGTTCGTTGTTATTTTCTATATGATGCACTTATGCTGTAAACACAACAATATTCAGTGGTATACAACTACGGTTTGACTCACTTCAGTCTTTAGTTACCATGATTACTCACATGGTTGTTGCTTCCTCTAACCATTCACATGTCACATTGTTGTTAACTAAATGAAAGGTCTGACCCATGGCAAAAAAAAGTAGAATTGGAAAGTTTACCAATCAGTCAAAGCAAAGATGTAATTGAAAATAGAGCAAAGTGAAACATTTCTAACGAGAAACCTGAATAATGTAATAAATAAATAAATAAAAATAAGCTCATTCAATTTCATACATACATACATACATACATACATACATACATAGATGGGATCAGTCTAGCATTCGGCAGCACTGTTAAGAATCTGGGAGTTCTCTTGTACCAGGATATATTCTTTAAAAATCCAACAAATCTCTACAACTGTTTTCTTTTTATCTGCATAATAAATCACAGATCAGACAAATCCTGTCTCAGGGTGATGCCAAAAATGTAGTCCATGCATCTTTCACCTCGAGGTTGGATCACTGTAATTCCTTTTTATCAGGCTGCCCTTTTTAAGTGATTTTAACCCATGCAGTGATTTCCCCTCCAGAGTCCTGTCTGGTTTTAATGCAGTGCTGCTTGAGTGCCTGAAGACCAGGACCATCCAGTCTTGGCTTTGGTCCTAGTCCCTTTTGTACGGAGATTTGTCCAGACTCTCTGAATCTTTTTATAATATGATGTTCTGTAGATGATGAAATCCACTCATTCTTTCACATTTGACTCTCAGGAACATTTTTATGAAACTGTTGAACTCTTAGCTCTAACAGTCCCTCACAGAGTGGTGAACCTCTTACCATCTTTCCTTCCGAGAGACTCAGCCTCTCTGAATGTCCTTTTTATACGCAGTGATAATGTTTCTAAGCTGTTGAAAATTGACCTCATGAACAGAGTCTGTCCTCACCTCTGTTGTGAACCTGGATGGACTCCCTGTGGACATAGTTGATCTCAGATTACTGCAGGACATTGTCCCTCCACACCTGGATTCAAGGACACCAACAAAGCTGAGCCTAGAACTCTGTGGTCTGTTCCTGTTTTAAGTTAGATGAAATGTTTTGATGTTGAGCTCATGTTTGCTGAGGAAATGTTTCTTACTACAGTCTTTGATAAAACGGTAAGCACAGGTACACACCTTACCATAAAAACGGTCCACTAAACAGGAAGAGCACACTTCTTTCCCAGTAACCTAGCCCAGCCTGTCTTACATCATCAGACTCAGCACAGTCTGTAAGGCTCTATGATATCATCACTTTGATGCCTACTTTAAAAATGGATCCACCACTGCTGCTTTTATAAAAATCAGGTTATTTGTCATACTAACAGTTGTTTAATGCTTCCCATGGGTCCAGAATCATGGGAAATGCCCTTGCATGGCACCAGATGGAGTGACTCCTTATGGGGTCAGAGATGGAGTTTGGCAGCCTGAGCTGTGTTTGATATCCTCCTGTAAAGGTAGGTGGCAGAATCAACATGCAGCAAACACAAACAGTAGGGTGACCATACATCCTCTTTTACCCAGACATGTCCTCTTTTTGGGGGGCTGTCCAGCCTGCCCCCCGACCCGACCTGAAAAACCCTAAAAATTTTGTGTGTGACTCTGCCCCACGTAGTAGTGTCATCTTTTTGGGGATTCAGAATATGGTCACCCTAAACAACAGGACTCTTCAGGTTTGTCTTTTTATGGGGTGCAGGACTGTAATCACTAGGAACCCTCTTAAATTCATGTTTCACTTTTGTTTGAGGAACATTTCAGATCTCTCTCTCACACTCTCTGTGTGTGGGTGGGTGGGTGTGTTACACTCTGAATGAAACCTATACTTCCTGCAAGACCTGATCCAGCAGGAAAAACAGAAAATTTGCCATCACATTTTAATCCAGCAGCTCTGCTCAAGCTTTCTCCTCAGCTGCTTTCCACTTTTCTCACGTCATACCTGACAGGGAGATTAATTAATCAGAAAACACTCAGAGCTTCCTGTTAATGCTCAGCAAACAGGAAGGACTTTCAGTAAATTCCAGATGATCCAGACCGTAAAGACTGAAGAGAGAACGAGGAACAGGGAACGAGGAAAATGAACCTACTGAGTTTTAAAACCATCAGAGAGAGAGAGAGAGAGAGAGAGAGAGAGAGAGAGAGAGAGAGAGAGAGAGAGAGAGAGAGAGAGAGAGAGAGAGAGAGAGAGAGAGAAAGTGTTTCCACAGTCAGAGGAGTGAGAAAGTTAACTGATGGTGGAGCGATTTGAATTGATAATAACTGTCTTATGATTAATAAGATGATAATAATCTTAGATTATGATATTTAAGCACTTGTTGAATCAATTTTGAATCAATCTTGTATACTGTATATCTTCATCCAAAACTTTGTTTCAGGGACTTCACTTCTGGAAGAAAACTAACAGACAAAAACTAAATAAATGGTCTGTTTATCGCAGGGTAAATGACGGTACAACATATATGCAATAAATGAGGATAAGATAATGAGGATAAATAATAATAGATGAATGAAAGAGTCAGGCTATATATAAGTTAATGATAGTGAATGGATAGTCTCTACCATATTAACCTACATTAACTTTGGTGTAAAGATAAATTTGGAAGTGAATTTGGATTAATTTAGGATTAATCGAATAAGTGAATATTTAAGCCCTGTTTAGAGCTCTGGAGGTTTGTATAAGTGAGGCTGGTCCTTGGAGAGGATGGAGCAGGTTCAGGGCCAGGAGTCAAAACACACAAGCCTGAATGCAGAACCAGCAACTTTAGTATCCTTTGGATGCTCCTTTTTTCTCACCGCAAAACTCTAGCTCAGATTGCTTTGGGCCTGCTGTGTGGCATTCAGAGGCAACTTTCAGGGGTCTTAAAAAGTCTTAAAAGCATTGAATTTATAAATTTGGAAATATTACCTTTAAAAAATCTTGAGAAAGTCTTAAATTTTAATATCTGGGTCTTAAATTTTATGCTGTATGTAACTCCTCAAAAGTGTCATTTGTCATGTTGATTAAATTACATAGCCCAAATAAATAAACAGGGGGAGGAGCCAATCATTGAGAATGCAACGCAGCCCCGGGTAGGAATCGTTGCAATGTATGGTCAAAATACAATGAAAGTTCACTGAAGATCACGAGCTACGACACCACCACACAGACCCAGATTTTTTTTTTGTTATGCCTAGCCACCCATTTCATCTTAAAGATATAGGTGAATGTAAATTCAACAAAGCACGGTTGAATAAACAATCCTTTCGCCTTTTGCTCAAACCAGTGGATAGCAGTATGTTTGAGGCTTTTTGTATTGTATGCAAAAAAAGAATTCAGCTGGGTACAATAGGCATGAAGGCGCTAGAGTCCCATGCCAAACAGGATACATCTCATTTTAACACAAATTTCATGATAAGACAGATTATATCATTGCTTACCTTACATTGGTTTCCAATTGTTCACACGCTTAAGACAGTAAATATCAAATGAGAGACATGGTTTAGACGTAGATGCAGATCCACAGTGATGGGGTCAGTTCTTGAAAGGTAATAAAAACTCTGTCTGTTCTTTGAATTGACCAATTTACAAAAAAAGACAAAGGTTTGGGTTAACCTTGAAGTTTAAACAGGTCTGAAAAGATTTATATGATCCTGTGTACTGAGACCACATAAGGAGCCTTTCCTGTGGAGATTGTGTGAGTTTTATACACTGGGTTGTCTTTATGATGGATGGTTTCTGCTCCTCCTCCCCCCTCTCTCTGTGGTGTCTGATGGTCTGACAGTCTGATGGTCTAATAATCTGATGGTCTGGTGTCGTGATGATGTTGTCATAACATCAGGCCATCCAGTCAGACTGTAGCCTGATGGTCAGATGTTCAGATGGTCTTACAGTCTGATAGTTTAACAGTCTGATGGTGTGTTCATCGTGACTGTGTTGGTACAGTGAGGAGATTGGGAAACTCTCCTCCTGTTGGCTAAACAATAAAAAAATAGATAAAATAAAATGAGAAAGGGGTCAGTGTGTTGCATCTAACAATGAAATCTGATCTCTGTTTGGTTTGGAGGGTGACTGATCTGAATGAAGCTGAGCTGTTTTAACTACAAAGTTAAAGTTAATTATAGAACTTTTGTTCTGATTCCAACCTCCATTATTGACCTAATATAAATGCTGTCACTTCTGTGTGATTACTATAGGCCTGTTGACTTGAATGTTCCATAAATCAAACTCAGCTGCTTTGGGATGCCTCTAGCCAATGCTAACAGCTAAGCCTGAGTTTTGTAGCCAACATGCTGGTGTTTTCTGAGCCTCATACCGGCCTGAGTCAGCTATTTGTACTGCTAACTGTGCGGATAACTGTGATCAGTAGCCAGAAGAAGCTGCACTCAAAGGCTAGACTCCAGTTATTCCCAGGCTGCTGCTAAATAAACCACGCAGTTCTTCAGTTACAGGAAAAGAATTGTCCAGATGTGCAACACATGAAACAATCATCAGGCTCACAGTGATGGACTCAGCACATTTACTCTGTGAACTGGGATAAAACAGTCAAAAAGACTCGGTGTGAGGTGACTGTTCAAATTTTGAGTGATGTGTCTGCAGTGTGAGACAAGAGAGAAGGAGGCACAAAGCCTGAGAGTTTGCACTTGAAAGCTGAGAGCATGCACATGAAGCCTCAGAGTGCTCATGTGAAGCCTGAGAGCATGTACCAAAACCCTGAGCGTGAGCACTTGATGCCTGGAAGCCAGCATGTGAAATCTTCAGCAGTTTGAAGTGTGAGGTGGTGTGTGGAGATAAAGTGAAGCGAAACTGAAGGAGCTGAGATAAACCAAAGCTCATACCAACCTCTGGCACTCTCTGCCTAACCCCCCCCCCCCCCCCCCACACACACACAAACACACACACGATTGTCAGTTTGTGTGTGTGTGTGTGTGTGTGTGTGTGTGTGTGTGTGTGTGTGTGTGTGTGTGTCAGACTTGGCACAGGTTGAATGCTGGGAGTTGAACTGGGGGTTGGGGGGTTGACGGGTCTGCATCGTGGGAGATAAGCTAAGCTGCATCAGTCTCAGTAGGCTACACATGTTCTGCATGCATGTATACATGTCTACACACCAACACGTTAACAGGCTAACATATACATGAATAGAGCATAATGAGCCCATCAGGCCTAGGTCTGACAACACCAAAGCTCCCTCAGGTGGGTCCATTCCGCATTATATTGTGTCTGCATGAGGGGTTGTATCGAGTCAGGAGAGAGGATGTAAGAATCTTAATATACTGAGGAGCAGACATTGTGTGTGGACTAGGCTATCCAGGTAGTCTAGGTAAATCCTACCTGTTGAATGGTTTGATCTTAGGGTGATTTTTAGCAGCATGCAGTTAGAAACTGTTACAATAAAATAAAGACTCTTCATCATCAGGTTGGTTAACATTAAAACAAATCTCTGTGTCTCTGTTTGTCCCAGCTGACCGGCGAGCTGCCACAGCATAGTGCTGCCGCTGCACTAAGGGACTCCGTTGTCTGGGAGCCTTCTTTCTCCACATGTCAGGAGCCCTCCAGCTCTACTCCGAACAATGGGACCCCCTGGTCCGAGGTAGTGGTCCGCAGTCGGAAGAAGGCTCCTGGCAGAACTCCGTGCAGGGTTTCCTCCTCTGTCTGCACCCCCCTCTCCAACAAATATTCGGCTCTATCCATGAGCGTGGAGCCACTGGTCCAGGGCCCTGCTGATTCCAAGTTCTCCCCGAAGGATGCTGCGCCCCCACTGATAGATGTCATCCTTCCCTCCACTCATGGCTGCCTGTGCCCCACAGGATCAATGTCCAGCACCGGGCCATCCAGCACTGTGCCACTCGCCTCCGTCCCCCTGCCCCTCAAACCAGTGGAGGCGACTCCTGAAGGACGCGGTGCGATAGCACACTGGACGTCCTCACTCCCGGGCGCCTGATGGGGAGGACGGGTCCACCGAGCCAGCCGCTCCCCTCAGGCAACAGGCCACATCACTAGTCATCAGGGACTCTATCATCCAGAACGTCTGTCTGAGGGGAGCGTTCACCCTGTCCTTTCCCGGCACCACTGTTGCAGACATAACTGAGAAAATCCCAGGCGTCCTGAATTCACATCCACAGGTTAACAGGGTCGTCATACATGTGGGCACCAATGACACCTCCAGACAACAGTCCGAGCTTTTAAAGCGTGATTTCACACAGCTTTTTTACAAACTCTCAAACTTTTTATCTCCGGCCTCACCCCCACCTGTGGCAGAGGTATTGGGCGCTTCAGCAGGCTACTCAGTCTGAACACCTGGCTCTCATCAGCCTGCAGTACCCACAATGTTGGCCTCGTTGACAATTTCGATGTTTTTTGGGAGAGGAGACATCTTTTTGGATTGGATGGCCTTCATCTAAATAGAGCTGGCACCCGCGTGCTGGCCGCTAACCTGGCATACGGTCTACAACATACTCACTTCATACTTTCCTCCCATCACCCCAAACGTACACCGACTGACCTTTCCGCCACTGATTGATGTCCCCCAGGTCCCAGTTCCTATGATTTTAGTTTCACCTCTGTCACACACAATACTGGACTTGGACCTTCTGTTTTCATTAACCATTCACCCATTCCTGTCATAATCACTCAGCGAGAGACAACCAGACTACATCATGTACACTCTGTGAACTTCAATAACCTTAGACCGCTCCCTAAACATCAACAGTCTAACCATACAATCTGTAAATCACCCGTCAACATTAACATGGCACTTTTAAATATTCGCTCTCTTTTAAACAAATCTTTTATTGTCCACGACCTGATTTTAGACAACAAGGTTGATTGTCTGTTTTTAACTGAAACGTGGCTGGGTACAGACGCGCCAGTTATTCTCACTGAGGCCTCCCCTCCTGATTGTTTTAACATGTAAAGCACTTGGTGCTGCATTTCTTTTTTGCCTGAAAAGTGCTATATAAATTAAGTTTGATTTGATTTGATTTGATTTCCTCCTGGTATTTTGGATCCAGTCTGCCCGATGATACTGGTGATTTGGGTCTGAATATTTCAGCTTCATGTCACCTGTGAGTCATTGCACAGCTGAATATCAGCTCTAGTTGGGCTGAGTTTCCTGAGGGCTGCTGATCTGTTGAGTGGACCCACCAGAAGCTCATTATTTTGGGTTATTTTGACAGCACATGGCTGCATGTTTCTTTGGTTTCTCTGGCATTAAGAAGAACAACATCCATGTTAGAGTCAGTCAGGATGGAGAGTTGATGAGCCAGGCTATGGTACAGTACCCTCTTAAGACAGCTGCACCGATAGGTGGAAAATTCAGAACATGGACATGTACTACTGTAAAAACCAGAATATAGGACCAAATTTTTCCTGAAACACATCAGAAAACAGTGGGATAGTCTTATATTTGGGGTTTAATATTTTGTTTGGTCTGTACAACTGTGTTCACAACTTCAGCCCAAAAGATCGAGCAGCATGACACACCACCTTACTTTAAAATCTACTCAATCTTTGATCAACGCTGACAAAAAATGTTTCCACACACTTCTGGGTCATCTGAAGACATCTCCCCACTGCCCACAAGCTCACATGGCTGTTTGCCAAAACGCTGTTACAGTTGCATCATTCACAAAAGGAAGTCCTTTTTAAAAGGGGTGAAATGACGGTAGAATCACCAAATGTAGCACACTGGTACACAGTGGAGCCTTAAATCAATTAATACAAGTGTGGTTGGTGGAAAAAAATAATTCTCTCCCCTCTCTTGCTTTCCCCTCCTTTCTGAAAAAAAAGAGTGCAAAGGGGCAAATGGAAAATCTGTGCAGTTATGACAACATAACCGCATAAGCCTCTCCTATGTACATGTTGGTGGCAGCGCCCCTGATAATTGTTAGCCCAGCCTCTAAAACTTTTTGGCTGAGTTAACGTCTGCCACTGGTTCCCCTCGCATACGCCGCAGCCGTTCTTCTTGGCTGAACAAATGAAGACAGGAGTCTATTTATGCCTCCTTTGTCGGAAGATTTGAGGACCTAATGGATTTATTTTATTTTTGATGAAAATGTACCAACAACAACTCTGAAAATGTTGTATGTGTGTGCTTACCATTTCACCACGGACTATTTTACCAATGATGGGCAGTTAAAAGCAGGATTCGCTAAGAAGCTAGAGATAAAGCCTGGATCCATAACGACTGTCTGTGTCAGGGACCCAACTTTAAACGTGGAAGCTGTAAGTTTTACCATTTTATGTTGCTTTACCGCCACCTGTATGACTAGTGCTTTGGCTGCAAACGCATGTTTTCCATTGTTGGTATTCGTCTTCAGACTTGCTGTTCCTTGGGGTAGCAGAGGCAGGATGGTGCTTCCAGCCATGGTGGTCTGGAGATCCTTTGAAGAGGTCCTCAGAAAATCTCCAGACCACCGCTCCTGGACCACCGCGGCGCTGCCGTCAGCTCAGAGTGGCCTTAGGGAGGAAGATGTTTACACACAGCTCATTATCATTTAAAGGTACAGACACAGAATCAGCCCATTCTCAGTGGAGCTCAAAAATTAACTATTGTGGAATCTCTGGGACCGATATAACCTTGATGAAAAATGCCATAATAGGAGACCTTTAATGCTCAATTTGCCATGCCCACAAATTTTTACAAATCAAACCATTGCTGCATGATTTCCTCAGAAATTGTGCTTTCATAAGCTATTACATAATTTTTCCCCCACCTAAATGTGCTCCAAACCCTGACATGTGCAGAGCTGCAAGGGCAAGTCCTACTAGCAGCTTTCACCTTGATATTGAATACCATTAGTAAAAGATGATGACATGTCAGTGAGTGTGTTTCTAAGCTTATGAAGTGATGTCTCATTCTTTGTCTCATCTATCCGTCATTGACTGTCGGGTTATTGAATGTTTTACTTATTGTAAGTTTTCTTTGAATATGTTAAATTTTTGGGCTGCAGTTATCGTGTAGTGAAATCGAAGCATGGTGAGAGTCCTGGTTCATTTACATGAGATTAAAATATATCGTGCTGAATTCAAACTGATGATGAGGCCAACCAAACACCAAATCCCAGTTGGGAAGGAAGGAAATCTCTGATTTAATTTGAGTCATGATATAGTTAAATGAAGTTGATCTCTGTGCCCATTTGGGGTGTGGAAAGATGAAAATACCTAAGAAAAACCTCAGAAGACAGTTCTGCGTGACCAAACATGCCCGAGGAAAGAAAAGGATAAAGAGAAGTGGTCGGTAAGGCAGACTCTGAAAATCTAAGACTGTCTGTGAGCAGGAAAAGGAGTTTTTTTTTCTCCTTTAATACCAAACAGAAAGCTGATGACGAAAAGGTGAACTGAACCCTGACGAAGTTACTCTGGAAACCAACGCATTGAGGAAAGTGACTCATTTCCAATGAACATGTTTAAGTTTTGTGCCAGATTTATGGTGAATTTACTCCGAATTAGACTAGACATTCCCGAAACTTCCCTCATTTATTATTCTTAATTACGAACATGTTTAATGTTTGAAACCAACACTTTATACAGCGGACTCCTGAAGGCTCCCTTACCATAAAGAAGTATGTTGATGTGCACTTCAAGTATACTGTTTTTAAACTAAGTATGCTCTCAGTTTACTTTTTATGGACTATCCAGGGATATACTTAAAGTTAATATTAAGTATACTTGGCTTGTACTAAGAATCATACTTAAAGTCTCTATATATTTAACCTATACTCATACATAAAGTTTTGATCAAGATATACTTAAGATTGTGCCTGTGCCTTAGGTTAAAGTATACTTGGTCAGTGAATACTTTCATATATATTTTTATTTTTGTTTTTTTATAATGTTCTTACAGAGTATTACAGAGTGTACTCTTAAAAACATACGCAGTACAAGCCAAGTATACAAATGTGTACTACTATTGAAATAATAGTATACCAAAAGGTAATTTTAGTTATTCTTCAGTCGCATGACCATGACCCTGACCATGTGCTGCATGTCACCCCCCCATTCTCCCATATTGCATTGCTTCATTCCCTTCCTTGCTGTTGAACTGTGTGTAGCGTTTCGTTTCCTCCTGAAAGCGCTCTCTTGCTGTTTTGGTTTATTTTCTATCTGTAATTTATCAGTACATCTGTCTGTTTAGAAAGTCTGTAAGTATTTCTGATAGTTTTCACCAAGCACCGTTTTTATCTCCACTCCGGGCGATCTCTCTGACCATTTACTTTATTAGCTCCTAGCTTAGCTTCTCTTAGCTACACTTGCTAACGATGGCTTCCCCCCGGTCGCCTGCTTCTCCTGCTCGCTTCTGCTCAGTGTGTCAGATGTTCAGTTACTCCTCGTCCTCCTTAGACGATAACGATACCTGCTTTAAGTGTAGTTTATTCTTAGCTCTGGAGACGAGGATTACAGAGTTAGAAAAGCGGCTCCGCACCGATGCTAGTGTAGCGATAGCCAGCCAGGACTCGGTAGCCGGTGCGGGTCGGCCTAGCTTAGCCTCCCCCCGGCGAATCCCGAGCAGCCGGGATGTAGTAGTGGTTGGGTCACTGTGAAAGGGAAGCATAGCAGTAGACCTAAGAAGCCCACGGTAGACCACCACATTCACATTTCAAACAAATTTGCCCCTCTCAGCAACACACCTGCTGAGCCTGACGCTCTTGTGATTGGAGACTCTGTAGTCCGAAATGTGAAATTAGCGAAGTCAGCGGCCATAGTTCAGTGTCTCCCGGGGGCCAGAGCGGGCGACATCGAAGGTAGTTTAAAACTGCTGGCAAAGGCTAAACGTAAATTCCGTAAGATTGTAATACATGTCGGCGTAAATGACTCCCGACGCCGCCAGTCGGAAGTCACTAAATTGAACGTGGAATCGGTGTGTGAATATGCCAAGACCATGTCGGACTCCGTAGTTTTCTCTGGTCCCCTGCCCGATCAGACAACTGATGAGATGTGTAG